GGTACAAAGCCAAGGGCTTCATTTTCTTCGGTTCTTCACCTGTCCTGTTTCTGTCCCAAAGATTGTAGGGTCCTTTAGGAATCCATGCTACTTGTCCTCAAGGTTGGAAAGAGCCAATACTATATATTGCTGTAGTTGTTTGCGTTCATCCAGGTTATACTGCAAATTCTCCAACAACTCAAAGTAACGGAAGAGGGAGTCCCGAGGCCAAAGGACCTGTTCGTCATCGTCAGCAGCATAGAGTCCCGGTAAGTTCTTGTGGATGTAAGTCTCCCAGTCCAAGATTCCAGGGTGCATTTCATCATAGCTGTAATATGGATAGTCTGCGGTTGGAACGAATGGGATGTCCAAGCTGAACTTTTCCCGTAATGCACTGTCTCTGTCCATAGTTGTCTGATTCAGGCTATATCTCCTTTCCATGATCTCCATTTTAAATTTGTCAGCTTGTTTCTGAGCCTCTATCTGTCTCACCTCTTCACTTAGGTCACTTCGAATGTTCTGGAAATTTGTGACCATAATGGCAACAAAGAGATTCCTAAAAATAAATGCCCCGATTAGAAGCCACAGACAGACAAACACGCCGCTGATCATCCTGTTCATCTCTGGGACCTTCCACGAGTCTTGCAGCAAAGCGTACCAGTGATCCATGGTGAAAAGAATGAAGATAGTCACTAAGGCATTGGGCATGTCCATGAAATACATGTTGTAAGTAAGGTCGTTCCTGTCTGAACGGCTGTAACTCTCAAAAAAGAAGATGCCTGACACAGCAAAGACGTAGAAGAGGAAGGCGAGGAGAACCAAGATGAAGGCCATCGCTTTCAAGGCTTTGGCAATAGCCATGATGAGGACCCGGACTTGTGGGACTCTGGAAAAGAGCTTTAGGCAACGCAGCACGCGACACACCTGCAGAAGTCGGAGACTTGCCACACTGTGGTACTTCTCTAACAGGAAGTAAATTTCTGGGATAAAGGAGATGATGGTCACTGTGAAATCAAAGACATTCCAGGGATTTTTCCAATATTTCTGAAAGCTCACAAACCAGTGCAGCCCAATCTCAGCCGTAAAGACATGTAAAATGACCCAAATGATCACCTCCAGTGCCCTACTTATTTTCACAAAGATTATTCCCCTCTTCTCCATTATCTCTGTTGAGATCATGAGGACAAGCATGTTCAGGAAGATGAGAAAGATGATGAAGCCCTTGAACGTTGGGCTGTTCAGAACTGAAGAAGCCCACATCTTCAGAGGGGGCCAGTGGCTGCAACGCACTTCAATACGGTTGCGCCAGCGTTTCTCCTGGGTGATCTGGATGTTTCGGACGGGCATGACATTGAAGCGGACCAGCTGGTTGTGGTCCATGAGCATCAGCTTCTTCAGCTTTTTGGGGTCCAAAAAATCCTGTACGTTATGCCGTGGCACTGCATGGCTCAGCCCCTGCAAGTGGTCTATCAGGTAAAATGTATAGATCAGCTTGGAGCGAATGGCATCCGCTCGGGGATTCACCTGGAAGACAATGTTGGATTTGGGAATTTTCTTAGAAGGTGGGGAGGTCTGCATGGCACCTGCTTGCTGCTCATGGTACACACCGAGAAGTCTAGAAGTTCCTCAGTTGTTTCAGTAGTGATCTCATAGTTGACAAGAATAATGGCTCCAACATTCTATTAGCACAGAAAAAGCTGCTGTGGTGTCAGCAGGACTTCTTAATTCATACAATCCATAGAAAAGATGTTTGTCCCCACCCATCCACAGACACCTAGACTAGAAGGAAGGCAGGAATTAGTATGCACTTAGGGCCGTAGTTTATTTAACCTGCAGGAATTTTCAACTGACCAAATTATGCTAGAGACATATGTCCTGTATTGTGAGATCAGCTGGCAGGATATACCTACTCTTGACTAAGTTAAATGGGCATTTCCATTCTGCATCAGTTAAGCGGATCATGCTTTCCCTTGCTTGTTAACCTAAAAAAATGTGTGAAAAAAGCAACCGTGCCTTTCATCTCACCTTAGCTGAAAAGTCTTAGGTATAGGCTTAGATAATGAAGTTACCAAAACAGGAGGAAGAATTTGGCTCCTATGATTGTTTTGTTGTTGTTGTATAGCATGCTTACTTGAATTACAGACTTACTAACTTAATTGTTGTTGGTGTAGTTGAGATTTTTGGTGGCCTGGTGAGTGGGTGAACCACGTGAAAACCTTTGGAGCCATAAAGCAAGACATGAAATACACTAAAATTCCTCTTATGGTCCCTTCACACATCTTTTAACATTTGTGAAAACTGACTACTGTAGCCCACCCTAAGTCTACATATGTTCATCCCACCTTCCACTGAAATCTGAAGAGGAGTTAAGGCTTATTTCTAGGACCATAATATCCAGCCTAGATTGTTCATTTCCAAATGATGCACCATCAGAGCAAATATTGATGATTTGCCTCTATGACCCTAAAGCATTCTCCCACCGAAAATATGCCCTGGGATAACTCTACATGATACACTGGTTTGCTCTAGTCTACTTATTATTAACTACCAAGGGAAAGGAAAGATAATTGGGCCATGTGTTTGTATGAATCACTGTTCTAGTGGTTTTTGTCGATCAGCAGTAAATACATGACAGTTATATATGTGTCTTTTAACTGAAAGGACACTAGTCAAGAATGGAGGCTCCTGAGAGTCCATCTTTCTATTTCCTCTGTAAATAGGGAGGGAGGTCAGCCAACAAAGGCTCAAAAAAGGCTAAGCAGAGTTAAATCTGATAAGTATTTGGATAACAGAACACCAGTAAACCCCAGAGGTGTAGGGAAGAAGGCAATGGCCAATCATTCTGTCTTGCTGCCAAGAGCATTATTAGGACTATGTCATTTCTGGAGTTGAACCTGACCTGAGGGAGAGTTTAACTTTATGAATCTTTTGGCTTTATTTGTAATTTGAGAATAATTGGTTTGGAGGTGACTGGATCCTTTGCTCACTTGAGGATAATGTTGCAGCTGAACTGCAGAATCTGAAAGGAGGCTGGCCTTGGGCTGAGGGTCCAACAGAGTCTCCTAAATCAAGGGCTAGAAACAGTGCACCTGCAACACCTTGCATATAAAAGGAATCTAAGCCCATGAGACACACCTTTCGGAGGGTGCAGCTGATGAAGACATTGCAGGGCCAAGAGGCTGGCCTTATTTTCAATACAGTGCCCTTACTGGCTGAAAGCCTAAAAAAAACAAAGTGCTTACCGCTTTGCAAAATTATTTTATTTAAAATAATCACCGTGGCAGTTGCTATAGATGGGCATGGCTGGCTGAATCACCAGTTAGCAGTCAATGAGTCAGAAGGATGGCGGAATCAGAGGGTCAAATTGAAGCGTCTTCACCTGTTCTCACCATCACTGCCACCAATGGTGGAAAGGTAGCTTAGAACAGACCATTAATGTCTGTTCTCTCAGTGACTCATTGCTCTTAACTCACCTCTTCCCATTCAGAAGGTATGTCTAGAACAGAGATGTATGAAACAGAAGGAAGAGGTGAAGGGATCCACAGATGAAACATAAAATGAAAGGAAATCATGTTTTCAGGTGGAAACTGGTGACTCAACTATCAGAGGTTTGAGGAATAGAATATTTGAAGATCCTCATCACCAAGTCTTGAAGATTCAGAGGTTACCTCCAAGTTAGGGCAGTATACTTCCAAATACCCATTGCAAGAGAACAACGGCAAAAGAGGGGAATATCTCCTTCTTCTACCTGTGAGCTTTCCAGAGACATCTGGTTGGCCTTGATGTTAGCCCTTCGAAGTAGCCCAGAGAAGAAGCGCAACCATGAGGAATAACTCCACCTTTATTGTAAGGTTACATTAACAGAAC